TTGAGACTGTCTGAGAACAGGATTGCTACTCCTGCTTTTTTCTGAGGTGCTGTGGCATGTACTATTGTTTTCCATCCTTTGACTTTCAGCCTATGAATTTTTTATGAGTTAAGTGTGTTTCTTTTATACAGCATATTGTTGGATTTTGTTTCCTAATCCACTGTGCCAGTCTATTTCTCTTAACTGGTGAATTGAGTCTATTTACATTGATGGTTATAATTCACATGTATTGATTTATGATTCACATGTTATTTACCTACTGTTCTTTACTCCTTTTTGTCCTGTGTTTAATTATTTGCCCTATTTAGTGGGTTCCTTCTGTTCTCTTTCATAGAGTTCTGATCATTTCTGTCCCTCTCTAGAACATCTTTTAGTAATTTGTATAGGGTTGATTATGTCATCATGAAATTCTTTAGTTGTTCTTTGTCACAGAAGTATTTCACTCCTCCCATCAAACTTGAAAGAGAGTTTTGCAGGGTGTAGTAGTCTACACTGTAATTTGTTTTCATAGAAGATTTGAAGTACTCTGTTCCATGCTCTTCTTGCCTTTGTGTTTTGTGAAAAGAAGTCTGCCATTATTCTAATGGTTTCTCTTTAAATGTAATCTGTTGCTTTTTTCTAGCAGCTTTCAGTATATTGTTCTTATGCTGGATTTCTGGGATCTTGACTATTATATGTCTCATTGTGTTTTTCATTGGGTTGAAGTTATTTGGAGTTCTCTATGCTTCAGTTACCTTAATGTCAGATTGTTTCCTCATATTTGGGAAGATATTTCTTCTGCTATTTCTTCTGCCCATATGCTTTTATGACATTTGTATTGACTCCTTCTTTCTCATTGATGCCTATTAGTCTCACATTGTTCATTTTTGCATTGTTATGCAGGTGATGAACTATTTTTTTCCTGAATCCTAGTTGTTTTTTGTTTGTTTTCTTTTCTTTTGTTGTTGTTGTTGTTGTTGTTGTTGTTGAACTGGAGATTGAACTCAGGACCTTGAGCTTGCCAAGCAAGTGGTTATTCTCCTAAACTCTCTCACCAGTCCCTTCATCCTAGTTGTTTTTAAGAGGTATTTTCTTACCTTTTCATTAGCTGCGACAACATCTTCAAGATCTGAAATTCAGGTGAACAACACGCTCAGGCCCCCTTCCTGTCCCTCTCTTGGATAGGAGCTTCTTTCCCTCAATAAATATATTTTGCTCATAAAAAAATCTGAAACTCTACCTTCAATTTCACTCAAATGGTTCTGCAAGCTTGTGATTCAAATTTTAAGTTCCTGTATATCTCTTTGACTCTGCTTCATGCAATGTATTTCTTTCCTGTATTGCTCATTCAGAGAATCCATCCTTTTTCTAGTCTCCTCTATTTTTTATCAGTGTCTTATTGAGAAACAGTTATTAATTCTTTTACTACAGAGATTATTTCTGATCTGATTTCCTCTATATGTTTCTGCATGATTCTTTACATCAGATGCTATTAATTGAGAGATTTTTTTTTATTTCAGAGGTTATTTCTGACCTGAGTTCCTCTATACCTTTCTGCAGTTGTTTCTTTACTTCAGATGCTACTAAATCAGATGTTTCAGCTGTGTGATTCCCAATTTCTTCTGTGCTAGTGTCCTCTGCACTTGTTCTGTGTGAACTCGGGACCTGAGATTGCATTTTGCTCCTTCTCTTTTCATTTTGTGCAGCACTGTCCTCTGAATTGTTGTAGAGCTTTGGTGCAGTTATAACCTTAGCACCTACTGAAATTTGGGTGCCAGTCTACCAAGTTTGAGTTCATCCAGTTGTGCCTGTCTTGGGTCTGGCTGCTGTGCTCAGCTCCTTCCTGTTGCAGCCTTTGGAAGTGAATCTGATGTGCCCCTCTGGCAAGGTGTTCTGCTCCTGGATTAGTTGGGTGGTTCTGGCCCCTAGTCTCTCTGCAGGGAATTCAGCTGCAGAGTTTCACCCCAGGCCTGTACACCAGGCCTGGGCAGGGTCTGGAGGGGTTTAGGGTGCACTGGGGAGTGAGGAAACTCTCCCACACACTTGCCAGATCTGGTCTTGGCCTGTGTCTGAAAGGGTCCCAAGAGCATGGCAGAAGTTCTCAGTCATATGGCAGGCTTGGTATGGCTCCAGGGGTGTGGAGTGGTCCCGAGAGCATGGCAGAAGGTCACTCATGCCCCAGGCCTTGGCTTGGTCTCAGAGGTCCAACAGGCACAGGGGAAAGTAGAAGCTCTCCCACACACTCACTGGGTCTGGGCTTGGGCTGGCTCCAGAGGCATCCCAAGAGCGAGGCGGAATTTCTCACTCATGCAGAGGGCCTGGGCTTGGTCCTTGGAGGTCCAGCAGGCACAGGGGAGTGCAAAAGCTCTCCCACACACTCGCCGGGCCTGGGCTTGGGCTAGGTCTCTATATTATCTATTTTTATCATCAAATTTGTTGCTCAGGTTAACACATATAGGTATGCAAGATGGGACATATGATTGAATATTACCACATGCTTTCAGGAAATCTTAAATTTTTGTTCTTGTTCTTATTTTCCTTTATTACCATTTTTCAAAAAAAATACTTTAAAGAGAATACGAAAATAGTTGACATGACATTAGAAATGGTACACATTTAAAAGACCAAGATGACAGATATTTCATGCATGGTTTTATTATTACATATTACTGTCCTCAATATAGTTGCTTAGTTCACAGATATCAACATATCCAATTAGTCTGGGTGAGAATTCTACACATTAACTGCTATTTTCAAAGACCTGATGGAGATTCTTAAGACTATTGCCTTATCCAACTTGTATGTATACATGTATGGTTTTGCCCCTACCTTATTTCCTAACTTTTCTCCTTTCTCTCTCATTGTGATTTAATAATTAAATTCTATTTCTTTCCATTTAATTGTACCTGTTATACCCTTCAGTTTTTATTTCTTCTTTTGAGTTCTTACACTAGGAAGACAATACTATATTTACCCATATGGGTCTGGTTTGTTTCACTTATGAGTATAGCTTCAAGTTGCATCTACTTAAGTATGCAGGTTTTGAGCTTGTTTTAATTTATAGCTGAGTAATATTCCATTACATAAAAATACCACATCTTTTCATCCATTTTTCAGGTGATGGGCATTTTGGTTTCTTCCAAGATTGGGCTATCACAAATTCTGCTGCTATAAACACAAGTGCACATATATCAATCTTCATTTCTTTTGGGAAAATTCCAAGAAGGGAAGTAGCTGGGTTGAATGGAATTTCTGATCCTAGTTTATTGCAGAGTGTCCACACTGATTTTGATAATGGTTGCACCACTCTACATTCCCACCAAGAGTGTAGAAGCCTTCCTTTTTTCTTGCAGCCTCTCTAAAATTTGCTGTTGGTTTATTTCTTTATGATCTCCATTATTTCTGGAATGAGATGGTATTTAAATGTTGTTTTAGTTTGCATTTCACGAATGGCCAGTGATATGGAGCTTTTTTTCATGTATTTATTTGTCTCTTGTATTTCTTCTGGTGAGAAGTGTGTACTCATCTCAGATGCACATTTTTGGATTGGGTCTTTAAATTTTGGGTCCCTAATGTTTATAGTTCTTTATACATTCTAGATAGAATACCTTTGTCTGTATGCTTATTAATTAAGATTTTTTTCCCAATGTTTGGGTTGTCTTTTCACTCTATTGGTAATTTTTTGGATGAGCTGAAACTTCTCAGTAAGGGGAGGTACAAGTTGTTAATTCTTTCAAGTATATCCTGTGAAGTTTCATTTTTGCTCATGCAATTTTGCCTACCCCTATATCTTCAAGATTTCCACCCACTTTCTCTTCTAGGAGATTTCATATTTATATTTTAATGTTCAGATCTTTAATCCATCTTGACTTTAGTTTAGTGTATGGTGATAGACTTGGGTCAAGTTTTAGTTTTAGGCAATATAGAATACCAGTTTTTCCAGCACCATTTATTAAAGAGGCTATCTTTCTTTCAGTAGGCATGTTTGGCCCCTTTGTCAAAAATTAGGTAGCTGAGCGCATTTGTAGTTGTATCTGCATCTTCTAATCTATTCCATTGATCCTCTGGTCTATTTTTTGCTAATATAATGCTGTTTTTATCACAGTAGCTCTGTAGTATACTTTCGAGTGAGGGATTGTAATGCCTCCTGCCTGGCCTTTGTTACCCAGGATTGCCTTAACTATTCTCAGTCTTTTCTGGCTCCAAACAAATTTTAAAAATTATTTATCTAGATTGGTGAGGTATGCTGGTGGTATTTTGATAGGAATTGCATTAAACCTGTATAAAAGTTATTGAGAATATGGCTATTTTCACATGTTGGTTCCTCCTATCCAGGAGTAGGAAATATCTTTCCATTTTCTGAAATCCTCTTCAATCTATTTTTCAGAGTACTGTAATTGTCATTGAATAGATCTTTTGCTGCTTTAGTTAGATTCATACCTAAGTATTTCAGTTTTCATAGTGCTATTGTAAAGGGTATTGTTCCTCTAATTTCTCTGTCAGTGTATTGGTTGTCTGTGCAGAGGAATGCTATTGACTTTTGGGTATTGACTTTGTACCCTGTTATGCTACTGAATTTGTTTATTAATTCTCATAGCTTCTTCACAGAGTTTCTTGGGTCTTCCAAGTAGAATATCATGCCATCTGCAAATTATGATAGTTTAACTTCTTTACCTATGATTATTCCTTTTAATTCTCTCTTGTCTAATGGCTCTGGCTAATGATTACAGAACTATATTGAATAGGAGTGATGATAGAAGACACTCTAGACAACACTTTCATTTAATTAAAAATGTATAAGATTGTCAAAAAGTAAAATGATATTTCAGAACTGTAGATGCCAACAGCCCACTGGTACACAGATATATTTTCAATTTTCCTTGCTTTAAAAAGCACATGTTCATGCTTAAACATTTATTTACCATTCAGCTGAAAAGCTAGGCAGTATGGTAAGTATGATTTATTTAAATAATAGCCTCATCTTTTCTAAAACAATTATTTTGTTATTATTTCCTTTTCAGGGAGCATTCTGGGGTATGATCCTTGGACTTGTGATTGGCCTTATTCGGATGATTTTAGAGTTTTCCTATGGAACAGGAAGTTGTGTAGTTCCCAGTAACTGTCCTGAGATTATCTGTGGAGTGCACTACATGTATTTTGGCATCATTTTGTTTTTTGTGTCCACACTGGCCACCATAGTAATCTCACTTCTGACGAAACCAATTCCTGATATCCACGTGAGTGATGTATAATGACTATGTGCTCATTCTAAAGTAGGAGTTCTTGGCCATCTGGGACTGCAACAAGTATACAGTTCTCAAATTAATAAATTTATTACACAACTAGAGGCAGAACCACCTTAAAGGACTATATCATCCAGTTATGCAACAAAACAGATTTTTACTGTTGTACGTGAAGCACCAGGAAAATAAGAAGCAAGAAATTGTGAAATAAACTGGAGACAATATTTTCACAATGCATTTAACACATCACTCTGCGCCACTGTTAAAATATATCACTGCGAGAATACTTAGTTTTGATTAAAAGACTGGGAAACACCTCACATTGGAGCTCTTGTCTGGACTGATCCACTTTGGGTATAAGTTTCATACCATGAACAACAGGAACACTAGCACAGAGTTTTTTAAAAATACATAGTAACAGGTGGCAAGGAAGGAAAAATTCTGAGCATGGTGTTCCATACTTGTAATCCCAGCACTCAAGAGGCTGAGGAAGGACACCCAAGAATCTGAAGCCAGCCTATGCTACATAATGAGCTCAAAGCCAACCTAAACTACATGGAAAAGCCCTGTTTCAAAAAACAAAAACAAAAAAAAGATAAAGGAAAATCACAATGGTATTAATGTTCCACTTTTCAAATTGGCTAATACATTCAACCTGAGTGATTCCCTGTAATGATAAGAATGTGACAAAATTTCCACATTTTATAATTGTTGGTAAGTCTAAAATTTTACGTATTTTGAGCAAGCTATTGGACACTGACAATTTTTAATTTCTCTTGCTTAATAAGTCAGCAACTCCATTTAAAACTTTATATTAACATGTTATACATGTAATAAAAACTATTAACATTGTCTCAACAAAAGTATTCAATTAGAAAAATATCAGAATAATCCAGATTTTCATCAGTAAGAGTACAAAAAGAGGGAAGGCTACATAAATTCCTTTTCAAAATGTTCATGATATGTTAAACAGGGGAAATATCATGCAGAATATTATAATGATATTTATATCACCTTTAGAATAAGGTAGATGTATGCATACATCTTTTTGCCTGAGCATTAAAGGAAACATACAGCACATCTGTAATTTCTAAAGATATTGTCTGTGAAAGGGGGCATCACAAAGGCCTAGAAAATGTTACTCATTTTTAAAGCCATAGCTTTTTCACTAATATCACATGAATTTCTTACTAATGAGTATAGCTTTGTACATCTTGTGTTTTTCAACATAACCTTTGAAGAAATATCCATTTGCATATTTCCTTGAGGAGTAACTAATATGAATGAGGATCCTGGAGCACAGGCTGATTAAAATCGTTTTGCAAGATTTCAACAGAATTTATTACTAAATATTTACAATAAATTTTGAGAGTTGAATAAAAGAACTTTGGAAAACATATGTCATAGTTTCCCAAGAAAAAATTGTAAGTGGTAAATTTTTATATAAATGACATAACTAATAGTTAAATATTAGAAAATAAATTGTCAAGGGATAAAACAATTTATCTAATATGTTTATAATTCAAAATACTGCGAGGTCTGAGTTTTCCAAGCAGACAGATAAATATCAACACTTAATTCACAGACACTCATGAAAAATGTTGTCAAATTAACCTGGCACAGCAGTTATGAGAACTACCAGGATGACAGTTTGGAGAAAGACTAAAATGAAAGTGACATAAGTTAAGACAAGAATTCAAGGAGTCCAAAGCAAATATTTCAACAAGGGAAGTGTACTGAATATGGGAAATGTATGAATAAAAGTTATAAAGCTATGAGGAGAAAACTTTGTGATAAGCTTAAGGCATGTGCTTCTTATTCAATAACAAGTAAGAAAATTAATCACAAATTCTAGTAAATTGGCAAAAGGAAATCATAGGCCAAATTAAACAATGCAAGGTGGATACTTGGTGGATTACAAATATAACAGTTTACTGGCACTTCAAACAATTTTCTTAGAAGGGCACAATACTGGTATTTATTTGTTTTGTCTAATAAAATGATTTTAATCTGTGGCAAAGAAGAAAGAAAAGTAACATGTATGTTATTTCTTTGCAAATATTTAATCATCATACAAACCAATTGTAGAAATTTTAATTTATATGCAGAAAGCAAAGTTCTGTGGAACTTGGTTTAAAATAATAGTATAGTCAATTGAACATTGTAGGTAAATTAGGAAAGCCAAATGTAAGGGCTTTAATTGCAACTGGAAATAAATAATTGTATATAGATTGTATCTAAACATGATGAATCAAAAATAGGACATAAAGAATACTCTAAAACTATAAATGTTTATTACACAAAGTTAGAGCAAAATTCATGTAACTATTACATGACAGGACAATGAGTGCTATTGGGTGTAGCATAGTTCAGCTAAATCTTTGGTTTTTCTGAACTCACAATCCAGAAGCTGCAGTTCTAAAAATCTTACTAAAAGTTTTGTTTTTAATTACTGGAAGAATTTTTAAAAAATAAATTAAAATGACTAATATATATGGTAAGAGACATTTTTCATGACCTATTATCTGTGCAGTTTGATTTTTGTAACCATGTGCTAGAAAAAGATGCTATTTGGATCATTATAAACATTTTCCTATCACTAAAGAACTTACTTCTCTTTCATTAGCTGCACCGTCTGTGCTGGGCTCTTTGGAACAGTACAGAAGAGAGAATTGATTTGGATGCTGAAGATGAAAGGCAGAAAGAAGTAGACACTGTTGAGGAAGGTACTATCTGGCTTGCATTTGGTTTTTCTGGAGGAGTTCTGTGTGCATGGCTTGGTTTAGTGATACTATATTTTACTTTTTTTTTAATTTTTTATTTATTTACGTGTGTGGCCAGCTCAGCCCACCAGGGGGCGGGGCTGGCTGGCATGTGGTGCTGGGGGATTGAACCGTGGTCCCTGTGCTTTGCTAAGTTTGTTCTAAGTAGGTGCTTTAGACCACTGAGCCATCTCACCAGCCCCATTATTTTGCTTTTAATGCCACTAAATGTGGCTACTTAAAAAGCTGTTAGATTTGTAGGAAACTGAAATTTTCTATTTTTATCCTTTAATATACCAAGACAACTGTTTGTTGCATATGAAATCTACTCATGCCATCCACCTATCCCTATATCCATCCATATATGAAACCATGTGCCAGCTACTGACATGACAGCCAATTACAGATTGATCTCCTGTTTCTAGCTATACATTGTGTTCAATAAATCAATACTGACTATGTTTAAGAATCAAGCCTCAAGTTATAACCAACCTTATCTCTCACAATTCTGCAATATATTCTCCATTCCAAATAAGAAGACTTCTTCATCTTTCTCCATATACACCAAGTTCCTCACAATATTTCCACCACCTATCCAAGAAAAAGAAAATATATCTGTTCTTCAAAGCTAAGTTCTAATTGCTTTTCCTTCAAGAAAATACTTCTAGAAATCATCACCATAGTTTTGTCTACTTATATTTTTCCAAAAAAAAAAAATCACTGGTACAATTAAGCTTGTAAAGATATCTTGCGTTGCTTCTATAGACTAAATTTTTAGTTTGGTTTGGACCATTTACTACAAACTGAAAAAAATGATTAATGTCTTCTCTTTCTTTGAGCTGTTTATATCTGTACTCCAACATAAGACTGACTTGTAATTTTCCTTCACTTTGTTTCAGTGTTGATACTAGTGTTTTTATAAAACATATCAGAAAGTACTAAATGCTCGTATTTAATTATTTCAAAAGCATCCAAACAATATCTCAAAGAAATAAATTGTAACTTTTCCATATTACTATTATAAAATGTGTGTGTGTGTGTGTGTGTGCACGCGCGTGTGGGGGGGGATATTCCAGAAATAAACACAAAACACAGAGCCACACAGACACATCAAGGCAGAGAGAAATCAATAAAGTCAGAGATCACAGCTTCCAGACTATTAATTCTATTTATATAATGGCTAGAGGGTTGTTTAAAGTACCCAGATATTCATTAATCAGTTCTGGAATTCTACACAACACATACATGGAAAGAAAAAGATGGGATTTTTACATTAGTACACATATATTGGCATAAAATTACTTGTTAAATGTATTCGCATAAAATCACTCTCTTATCTTTTCCATTTCTTCTGCCTTTGTAGTTCTATTTTACTTTGGTTCCTAATATAATTGCTGTGATTTCTCTTTCTTCTCTTGTAAAATCCTCCTTAAGATATCCAACCAGGTGTTGTAGCACACACCTGTAATCTCAGCACTGAAGAAGCTGAGGCAGGAGGATCGTTGCTGGTTGGAGACCAGCCTGGGCTACAAAGTGCTCTCAAGGCCAGCTTGAACTGCATAGTGAGACCCTGTCTCTAAAAGACAAAAATAAAATTAAAAAATAAATAAATGAAGTAATAATCAAACCTTTCAGTAGTTTAAGAGACTATCTGGTGGCAGTGAATCTATGATACACATATTATTTGGGGTTTTTTCAAGGCAAAAGATGTTAATATATGAGTTTTTTCTAAACAAACCTCAGTATTCATTTTTAACTGCAGTATTGGCCCTTTGTGGTAAATAAGTAGACTTGAGGTTGCATTTTGGACACTTATCTCTAAAATGTTCAGCACCACTGGACTATACTTTTTGCTTTTTTCAAAGAATCAACTTTTTGCTTTATTTCTCTGAATTATTATTATTTCCTATTTCATGACTGATATGCATACTATATATATACATATATACTATATATATAGTCTCCCATTAAAATTATTTAGTTTCATTTACTTGGGTATAGCTTCTAACAGGCTGGATGTTATATCATTAGTTTTTAGCTTCCTTTATTCCTAATGTAAAACAAATCATATATATTCCCTTCGAAGTACTGATCTTGTTGTGCCTCATTGATTTTTATATAATTTCATCATCATTCATTTTAAGTCTTGTATTGATTGAAATTTTATAGCTCTGTGGTCTAACTTCCTGCTTGGAAAGTACAAGGACCCAAGTTTGATCCCCAGTATTGCATGTAGTGCCAGTCCGTAAACCAGGTGTGATGGCACATGCCAACACTGGAGAGGTTGAGACAGGAGGATCACTATGAGTCCTAACTGCACAGCTAGACCCTGTATCTATTAATAAATAAAGAAAAATTTTTCATTGGCAATTAAATTTAGAAACATATTTTTAAATTTTCCAACCAAGCAACAATAGTTTTATATATAAGGTTTTTTTTATACTTTGAGAAAAATGTCAAGAAGTTTGTTGGAGGAAAGATTAATGCCTACGCAGTATGCAGTAAAGCATACTGTCCTAGAAAGAGCATGTAACAGTGTTTCACACAAACTCATTAATATTACATACTATAAAAATTTTAATTTATTGTCACTGGTATTTCCACATAATTTTAACTTAAATTTCCGGTTTTTGGATGAACTTAAAAACAGTTTGTCAGAGCTGGCCAAATAGCTCAACAGATCAAAGAGCCTGCTTAGGCAGAAACAGGGACCAGGGTTCAATCTCTGGTTTGCAGCGCCAGCCCCACCTCTGGAGTGTGCTGAGACTGCCATTGAGATTGGGCATAGTGGCACTCGCCTGAAATCCCTGGGCTTGGGATGCTGAAAACAGGAGGCGCACTACAAGTCCAATATGTGCAGTGAGACCCTGTAAACCTTGTACTAAATACATTTTTAAAAATTGTCACCAGAATAACACTATACTGAAACAAAAACCAACTTTTCTATTATTGTTTTAACTATTTCTTTCTGGTATGTGTACTATTACACCTCTCTTTTTGTGTACTATTACACCTCTCTTTTGAAAGGGAGAGAGGTGTAATAGTACACCTATGTTTTAACTATTTCTTTCTGGTCCATGGTCCTCTATGTTTTTAGGAACTCCTTATTTACTAAAGATATTAAGCCCTCTGTAACATAGCATGCCAATGTTTTCCTCCAATTTCACCTGCTTTCGTACTTTGCTCATTGGATATTTACCATGAAAATCTTTCTATCCTCTATAATCACATTTAACTCTATGTTCTCAAGCATTTTTCCAACACAAATGATAGAGATCATTCTTTACAGTAATCTATACTACATCTATGAGGAATTTTATTTTGTGAAGCTTTTCTCATCTTTTGGTGTTTCAGATTCTCCTGTGCAATCTCGTGGATGTCTCGGGAAGGCTTATGACATATTCTGTGGTTTTCAAAAGACGGGACCCAAACTGACCAAGGAGGAGGAAGAAGCCTTGAAGAAGAAACTCACAGACACATCAGAGAAGCCCCTTTGGAGAAATGTAGTGAACATCAGTGCCATCGTCCTCTTAAGTGTGGCAGTCTTTGTCCATGCCTATTTTGCCTGAACTCTTATCTGAGTGATGGAAATATTGTTTAATTAAAGGATATTATTGAGTTTAATTTTTATAGTGTGTTAGGTTTCAAAAGAGAGGTGTAATTTCAAATGCTTTCTAATTTGTTTATATACACCTGATTTATATTGTTTTTATCACTCCTTTGTGTAAAGTGTAAATTCTTTTTTCAAAATTTGACGCATAAAAATATAAGTTGTATATATTAAAGGTTTACAATATGATGGCTTCTTACTATATGCATTTTGAAATGGTTCCCACAAAGAAAATTAATGCATTGGTCAATGTATATAGTTACATTTTCTGTTCTAGTGACAATACTTAAGTTCTACTTAGTAAATTTCAAGTATGCAAGAGTACATTTCAGTACACTCACCAGGATGCATATAAAAGAAACACAATTTATTCATTTCACTTCTGAAAATCTGTACCCTGTGCTCAGCAGCTTCTGAACTCTGCACCCATGGGTGCTCCTTACCTTCATCCTACAATTGCCACTGAATTACAAACTCCACCAATTCATAAATGCCACTAAATTTTCAGCTTGATAAAAAGTCTTTGTGAGGCACAGATGGATTGTTTGGTGAAAGGAGAAAGCTGGAGAGGAATAATGTGATGAGAAATCTCAGCATGGGTTGTAGTAGTATCGAAGGAGTGGAAGTAAGCAATTGCAGGGATTACTATAAAGGGAAGGTGTCAGAGTTGCAGAAGCTCTTCCAGGGAACAGTGGAAGACTGCATGCTTAACCAGTCCTGCTGAGCCCTGCCAACTTCTGATACAATTGCAAGTGTCTAGTTGTAAAAGGCAAAATCCTGTGTCCTGTCAAATCCACAGGAGTGCAGCTTAAACTTAATAGAGCCTAGCCTGCAAAAAGAATGAGACCTCCTCCCAGGCCTTTTACTTCCTAGTAGGAAAGTCATGGGATGGGAACTAGCTCAGGCACTGGATGACACACACAACCTCCTAGCCAAAACACAGAGGACGGGATGTCAGCCTCCCACACCTCTATAAGACAAAGACTCTAGTTTTGAATTAAGGGGGAAAATCACATTCTGCCTGCAAATTTTCTTTACTTTTGTGGCTAAGTGTCTGTGTGTTCCTTTTCTTCCTTTTATCTGATATTTTTTGAAAGAGCTGAGAACGGCACTGTCACTTCTGAGTAAAAGCATTAGAATCTGAGCTATTGTTCTTATTGTGATGCATCTGATTTTTCCATGCTAAGGATTGTGTTATAAGTTTAACTAAAGTAGATATTTTATTTCATCATAAGTTGATCCCTGCCTTCCTATACACTCCATATCAGTGCATTTAAAGTCCCTTCTCCCTTTCCTTTTACCTACTTCCCCTCTTACACCATAATCTCAAATCCCCCTAACTTCCCCATTCCTTTACTATACACAAATACTATCAAAACAATGAATTTTCTATTCTATTTCATTCTTTGTTTCACCTACTATTGCCTTTAGTGAGAGATAGGGGATGAAAGTAGTGTACTAATAAGAGTATAGGACTAGTAATTAACACTAGCATCTCTATCATTCCCTATCTGGACACACTAGGTTCTCTCATGTCAGAGATTATGTCATATGATTAGCTGTATTAGCATTCTGGTTTGGTTATACATTGGACCCAAGTATCCTGTATCCTGCATCATGCTTCATGTAAATTCTTCCTCCCTTCCTGTTTACTTATTTTCTCTCTCAGATTGACTCAAATCTCTCCTCCCTTGCCCCTACTTTGTAACACAAACACTGCCAACACATCATTTTTTTACTTAGTTCACTTTTTGTCTTTCCTTTTTTCTACCAGATAATATATATGTAAACTGTTTGCTTATGTGAAAAGGAGGATCATAATTGATTATTGTTTCAATATTACTTTAATCTTTCATGGTCATATCATGTTGACACTCATCAAAAATTGTACACGTATATTTCAAACTCAGCCTTTCTATAAGCATATTGATTTTGACCTTCTTATAGTTTTATGAGAAACTACAACAAAGAACATAACATGAGAAAGCAAGGCAAAAGGTACTGAAATGGAGAAAGCAGCAGACAAAGAACTCAAAAAACAATGGTTAAAGGGTTTGCAGAGATCAAAGAAAAAGCAAAGCAGCAAATGCAAAAGATGCTCAATGAGCTCAAAGAGCATGTAAACAAATACATAAATTAAGAAAATGTACAATGAGAATTAAAAAGATGGGACCAATAAAAAATAAATTTTAAAAAATGTGATCAAAAGTTAATTGAATTTAAAAAGACAATGCAAGAATGGACACTTTAGTAAAGAATTCAGTATGATGAAAAAAGATCAAAGACAAATCCTGGATATGAACATTTTAGTTGAAAGTATGAACAGCAGACATGACAAATATTATAAGAAATTATTGGACTGGAAGACAAGGTGATACATTATATCATATATTCAATGATATTCTATAAACAAGATACTATGAAATCTGGTCAAACAGCTGCTATAACACATACACATATATACATACATACAAACAATCTCATAGTTGCACATTTTAAGAAAAGGTTAGAAGACAGTACAAAATGTAAGGAAAAACTATTCACTGAAATTATAGCAGAAAAATTTCCAAGTCAAGGGAAAGAATTTGACATAGAGTTGAATGAGGTAAAAATTAAAAGCCACTAAAAATTTCAGTAAACTCTATAAAGTCTTCAAAGAAAATTGTAAACAAGATTAGTATATCCTCCAAAAGTATATTTTGACTTTAGTGGAGAAAAAAAGTTTTCCGTAAGAAAAGAAAAACCTAAAAAAATTCAAAACCACCAAAGCATTTTAGAAAGTACTCATAGATCCTAGACAGAGACAATAAGACCAACATCATCAAAGGAACAAAAAGAAAAGTATATCTAGAGTAGAAAGTAGCTAAACAAATGAAAAACTTAAAGAAAACAGCACTAGAAAAATAATACAATGACAAGATTCAGTTAATATTTTTCAATAATGCTATTCAGTGTGCACAATCTTCACTTTCCTTTTTGTAATTTTTTTATTAATTTTAAGGGGAAAGAAGTAGCAATGAGACAGTCTCAAAACATGTTAGTAGGACAGTTACAATAATTAATATGCTGCATATTGTTGTCTTCATAGTAGTTATTCACAGAACAAGATGCGTACATGATCTCTTGCCTAAACATTAGCACAAATCTTTTTTCTCTTTGAACTAAAAGAAAGCAGCTGCATATCTTTCCTAACTATTTCGAATATACATATATATTTTTTCACTACAAAATTGTCTTTAGGGGCCAGGGAGATGGCTCAGTGGAATAAGCGCTTCCTTGGCAAGGACAAGGGCCTGAGTTCAATCCCTGGTTCCTCAAAAGAAAAAATTGTCTTTCACTTCTGTCCCCCATTTTTCTTGTGTTCTGTCAGAAATGGATGTTCCATTGCCATTAGAGAAGCTGTATTTGGAGAAGTCTTTCAAAGACCTTTTCATACTTTACGCTCGTTCAAATAATGTAGGTACTTGAATTCAGCAAAACAACCAAATATAGTCCAATAGTCCATAATATTTGTGGGTTATCAGCAGAGATAGAAATTGTCAGAAGTTGTTGATTTGAGACTTTTACAGCTCAGCATATAAATATGGCATTATGTTTTAAACCTTATGGTTATATTTTCTGCTGGATAGTTAAGATCAAATTAAAGGAAGACCTATATAACTAAAAATGTAACTTGTATCTGACAAGTTCAGTCAAATATCCTCATGATTTATCCTGAAACCATGTAGAGAAGCTTCAGATCTTTCATTAGTGTCAGCCATCTAGATAAGTCATAGCCATTGCTTGACCAATTTACTCTATGTGAAAGCCTGAGAGATTGTTTTCTCTCTAGGTGACTCTCCCTAGGCATACTATACATCATCAATCACTTTCTTCTGTGGCCATGAAATCTCCTTGAACAGAAAATTTGGGACACAACAGAGTTACAGTATGTCACAGCCTAGGTTCCCTTATGTCTTGAGTACTCACTGACCTTGAATGACTAGGTCCAAAATATAGGATATCCTTGTAGCCCTGCTTTTTCTCTGATTTTTGTTCTGCAAACTTTGGTTGTTAACCATCCAGAAGAGAAGCTAATGATATTATTACCCCGTAACAAAGGCAGTTGAGCTTAACATCACTATCTGTATGAGTACCAAATGCCTTAGACATAACATGGAACTGTTATTTTCCAAAAACCATAGATATACTAAACTTTAAATCTCTGTAGAGAAGCCCAAGTGTGTGGGAGAGTATTCGGCTTCCCTGTGCCCGCGAGACCCCTTGAGACTAAAGCTCAGGCACCTGCATGAATGAGATCCTGAACCATCGGGACCCCTGCAACACTCAGGAGCCCCACCCCCAAGGCCACCGAGTGAGTGAGAACTTCTGTGACTCTCTAGGGACACCCAGATCCAGCCCAAGCCCAGACCCAGCTAGCGTGAGGGAAAGCTTCTGCACTCCCCAGTGCTACCTGGACCAGGGGCACAAGAGAGGGACACAACAGGTTCACTTCCAAGGGTTGCAGCAGGTAGGAGCTGAACACAACAGCTACACCCAAGCCAGGCATAGCTGGATAAACTCAAACTTCATAGATTTGCATCCTAATTTCACTAGGTGCTAAGGTTATAACTGTACCAAAGCTCTACACCAAAGGTCAGAGGCCAGTGCTACATGAAATAAAAATGACAAGGAGCAAAATGCAATCTCAGGCCTTGAACCCACCCAGAACAAGTGCAGGGGGCACTACCTCAGTTGAAATGAATGAATCAACTGCGTTGGAAGAAAAGAAACAACAGCAAAAATTTATAGAGGAACTCAGAACAGAATTAAATCCTGAAATGAAAAAAGAAATCTCTGAATTCATATATTCTAAAGTAAAGAATCTAGTACAAAAACATATGGGGAAACCCAATGCCCACTCAGAACAAGTGCAGGGGACACGAGGGACACTAGCTCAGCTGAAATGTATGAATTCCCAGCGTTGCAAGTAAAGAAACAACAGCAGAAAG